AGGACGGCAACTAGGCCAACAAAGTTTCGAAAATGATGTGGTGTGTTTGAAATCATTTTTGAAAACGGTTTTCACGTATTTTGAGAAGTAAAAAATGAAAATGAAAATTAAACAATGTTTGTTTAGTAAATATTTTAAAATTGAGATTTTGTGAAAGAACTAAAAAGAATTGAATGTTGTTTTCACTTTTTTGTTTTTATTTTTTAGTACTTATCAACAATATTATAATATATTAATTAATAAATACGGTTTCACTTTTTTATTATACTCAAAACAATCTCTTAAAAAATCAAGCAAACACAATTTCAGAATCGGTCATAGAATGATTCTCAAAATAATCTCATTTTTATTTTTTATTGAAAACAAAATCATTTTGAAACCTAAGTTTCAAAAAACAAGAATCATTCTAAGTTTCAAAAAACGAGCTCTGTCGTTTCGTGCTATACAAGAACCACTAAAACCACTATATATATATATATGCATTTACAAACCACTATATGGAAGAACTAAGCACTAAGATAAACAGAGCTAAAAAAAGAAAAAATAAATAAAGAAAAGAAAAGCATGTATAGATATCAACAGATCAGACATTAAATATAATATGAAATTCTTTCACTTCTATGTATTGTAGTAAATTGTTTAATTATACCTTCCAAAAGTAATAGTCACGCCCTACTATCAATTCCAAAGGTTTAATTAACAAACGAAAAACCAAATATTCCACGAGCTTAAACTTAACAAAAGAGGTTCACAGTACAACAATACATGAGATAGAAGTCATAACTGAAATATTATATAGCAGTACGTAGAGTCGATAAAAAAGCCGCAGTCATCACCCCATGAACTACACTGAGGTCATCAAATTCCCATGCAAAGAAAAAAAAAAAAAAAAAAAAAAAAAAAAAAAAAAAAAAAAAAAAAAAAAAAAGCAACGAATGAAGAGTATGGATATCATGGTGAGGACTCTAGCCCAAAAAACATAAAAAATAGGGAGAAAGAGAAAAATATGCCAAGACTTGAGATGAATTAAAATTAATAGGCTAATAATTTACATAAGTTAATAAATAGGCTAAATTACTATTTTCGTCCATAACTTGTCTGGTTATGAACCATAACTTGACAAGTTATTTCTATAAATCACGGTTTGTGTCCATAACTTGTCTGGTTATGAACCATAACTTGACAAATTTATCCATAACTTATCTGGTTATGAACCATATCTTGACAAGTTATGACCTATTAATTTCTATAACTAAAAATTAACCTATATACTTTCTTAAACTTTTTATATTGGCTTATTTTTTACTATTTCCGTAAAAAATGTACCTCCTTTGACGTCTAGGTTGTGGTGTGAAAAGAGCGTACATATAGCGATTTAACGCAACACATCTACAAGCCAGCCAAAAAAAAAAAGCGGAATTAGTTAAAATGATAAGTTGGACATTTGGGTTTTCCCTAAAAATTTGGTATGTTTTGAAAAAATATGTAGCTAGGAATTACTAGTAGTCCTACGACAATAAGGTCATGTCATCTCACCACTTGACGATCCTCATGTGCCATGTTTATGCACTTTGCTAGAAGAACAAACCAAAGGAGGAGAAAAAAAATTGGAAAACTAAAGAAAAGAAAACGTGAGAACACTGTGTTAAAAGAACATGATCATCAAATGCGCATTCCCTTCATGTATATATATATATACAAGATATATATATATATATACACACACATAAGTTTTAGCTTCAAGATTCAAACCAGTAGCATTCCCTGAGCCACCTTAACGTCTGGCAAAAACAAGGAAAAAAAAAAGGCACAGTTCATCTCTGTATATTTTTCAGGTAACATTGTCCTACTACAACTTCGAATCTGCACACAAAAAAAATAATAAATAAAATAAATCTGGAACAGAGCATAATAGCATAAATCTGGAAAAAAAAAAAAAAAACGGTTGTTTTGCACTGTTCATCTCTGTAACACATTCCCTTCCATCCTTCTCAATTTTCAGACCACTACCTTTTTTTTCTTTTTTCTTTTTTCTTTTTTTATAGTAACTAGCTTTGGGGACCACTATCTATTGATTGTCCATGAACGGCTGTGATCCTCATACAACTATAACTAATTTTGTTAATTTAAACTGCTAATAAATGGATCAAATAATAATAATAAATATTAACTTGAATTAGTAAGTTTTAGCTATCAGCTTTATCAAGACGCACACCAGAGAGAGACAGAGACAGAGAAAGAGAGAGAGAGAAGGAAAGCTTGAAGGAAACTAGAGAGGAAAGAAGAAAGAGCTTCTGAAGTTGAAAATGGAGTCTCCCCATTTTTTCAAGGTTCTTAGGAAACTCTCGGGGAAAAGAAGCATCAACTCATCTTTGAAGCTTTTTAATGAAGAACATAGAGTACTTAAGACGTGTATTTTGATTTTGTGTTGAATGGATCTTTGTATATGTACTGCAAACAACTAGTCATTTTACTGTTTTCTGGTTGATAGCCAACCAACCCAAAATTGCTGGATCTGACAAGGCCAAAAATTGCTTTCATGTCGTTTTTGAATATAATCTGCCCTCCCAAAGTTCTTGATGTGTGTTCCTGGGTTAGAATGTATTGTAAATAAGATCGTACATATTATGTAGATATAAATAAATATAAATGTACATATAGCGCACACTAATATAATAAACCAGAGAAAATGAAATATTAAGCATACAATACCTGTGTTTACCTTGGAAGATTAACGATGAATACTTAAATCATGAAACCGAAGGACAATCAATTTACAGAAACAATCTCATGAAATCGTATGGGGAAGATGTAATTGTCAAAACCGACGGCGGTCTAAATCATTAATGAGGGATGGTTACTCCATGTTACCAATCAGTATTGTATGAGCATACATCTATCTCTTGATTATTTTAGGCTACCTAAACTCCTTAATTTTTTTTTTTAAATTATCCTCATGTTTTCTTGCTTGGAGGCTTTTCTGATTGTATGTTAAGTTTGGATGCTTGTGGGTTACTTGTAAAATCTAAGAAGATGTTTATGAAATCTCAAAGGGTTGTGAAGTCTCAAAAGCTTGTAAAATCTAAGGCCTTGTTCATTTCACCGATTCGAGTTTTCAGTTTTAGGTTTCAGTAAAAAGTTCTCAGAAAATGTCACATCTAACTTTTTCTGCTACAGTAAAAAGCTCTCAAAAAATGTCACATCTCAGCTCGAATTGAAAACTCGAATCCGCGAAATGAACGAGGCCTAAGAATGCTATGATGTCCTAGTTGAATAACTTTGTTCTCACCTTTCATTGTTGCATTATAATGCAACCACAATGCTTGGAGAACTTGTTAGGCATGATTGTACCATGAAGCAGCACAATATAACTTGCTGCCCCATTATACTATGGAGTAGCGCAAATCTTTTACACAGTTAGTTTGGTAATATGAAGTATTTGATATTATTGATTTAGTGCTTACCGGTACGAGTCCTAAAGGGCAATATTACATCAAATTCTACCATACCGCATCCCATGACATTATTCCCTGATTTTTATTCCAACCCCATTATATAGAAAGATGCCCCAAAACAATGTGTGAACCTAATTTAGATTAAAAGGGAGTTGCTAAAGATTCTTCTCTGACACCTAATAGAAAATCTACTTTTTAGCCGATAAATAAATAGATAAATAATAGAAAATATACTCTAGAGACCCTTAGAGATCAAAGCAAAAACAAAACAAAAAACAAAGGTAATTACAATGATAATTTGATTTCAGATCGTATATGACTAGGTAATGAATAACATAATTGTTTGTTGTAGAAGTAAATGCTTTCCTACTGTGAAACACAAAGATTTCTTGATTATAAGTAAATGTTGCAAGCAAGTTCTAACATATACAAATAACGATCAAAGCAGTAATATACAAAAGGACCTTATCAGAAATTGAAAAGATCAATTTATGTAACTGCTATTTTAATTGAACCGCACGCGGGGCGCGCATTAAAAACTGGAAGAAAGTATACTAATTGAAAAGAAAAAAAAAAGAAAAAAAAAAAAAAACTCAAGATAAAGAATGTATTTAAAATAATTATTTCAGTGGGGTAAAAAATATATTTTAATGACTACTTTTATTAAATGTATTATTTATAGGATTGAATGAAAGGTAAGGAAAGAAAGTAAAAGGAAAAGGAAAAAAGAACTTCAAATGGGATGTATTTGAAATAATAATTTTAGTAGAGCGGAAAAAAAAATGTTAAGCTATTTATTTATTTTGAATTGATTTGTGGTCCGATTTTACCTATTTAAACACCATTGTGCATCAAATTTCTGATACTACACAAATAAAACTACTATGAATAATTTGAATAAAAATAAAATTAAACAAAAATACACTAAAATAAAATAAAATCACTACTAATTAAGTTAAAAATAAATTAAACAAAACAAAATAGAACTAATAAAAAACACAACAAAATAAGTTAAAAGTAGCTAGACAGATTGACAATATTATATAATTACAAACATATTCTAAATATGGAGTTTAAAATGATCATTTCGTTTAATTACTTCTTAACTTAAAATCTGATTCAAGACTCATTAGAAAACAGCCTTAAAAACTCCTAATAATTTTTCTCATAAATTGTAGTAAATGGCATATTTTAGACGCATTAAAAATGGCATATTTATTTATTTATTTATTTATTTATTTATTTATTTATTTATTTATTTATTTATTTATTATTATTATTTATTTATTTATTTTGCTTGGATTTTTAACATACTCGTGCATACTTGTACATGAAACTTATATGGGTTGGGGGATCTATCGTCCCACAATCAGTTAGTTGAAAATGGAGCTTTGAAATTATGGGCTCTATTGTTTTGATGATTAAAAGGAAAAAAAAAAAAAAAGAAACAAATAGATCAAATACAAAAAGATTTCACTAACATTGCAAACAATCCAAGAGCCCTTGATATTTATTATTTGTTCACACTTCCTTATTTTGTTCTACATAGTGAGTACAAAGAATATCACAAAGCAAAATATGACTAGAAATATTCTAAAAAAAATGCACAACAGAAAGAGGCCTGCTTATGCTTCCGGGAGAGATTTTACACTGTCCCAGATCCTGAGAGGTATGATCTCGCTAGCGAGAAGCTCTTTTCCTTCTGCTTTTTGTATTCGTTGTATCGCAGGAAGAAGTAACCAACATAATCGAAATCGATGGGAGATATCTTAGCCTGCAAAATATAGATGTAAGTTGTTCTAAATTAGGTTTAGGTGGCTTTTCAGGAGAAAAATCTTAGTGAAATAGATGTACCTGAATTATTCCCCATAATGCCCAATACAACTGTGAAGCTAACATGTAAGTATTTGCCTCGACGTAGAGAGCTTCAAGATCCTTTTCAGATACCTGTTTAGAGTTTTTAAGTGAAAAAGTAGTGTAAATTAGAATTAATAGTCTTGAAAATTAACAAAGGGATGAAATTAAAATTAGCTTTTACTTAAAAAGAAATTCCAGTTTGAGAAGCTTTCAAGCTTTGCATGCATGCTATGGCTCCGCTCCCCTTTATACCTCTTGTGGATTGTCAGGTTGTAAATAGTGCCTGAAAAAATGGTATTGTTCGTCCTTGCTTGGACATCTGTATTCACACCCAGATAAGCTATTATGAACAATTTCAGAGCAGGAATAAATCGAAATTTCGCACGTGCGGTAAGCGATAACTAATTAATTAAGGCCTTTTAGGAAGCCTTTGAAAGAGCTTAGTTCCCTCTTGGTTTTTCTTAAGAATTCTCTAATATGCACGATTTGAGGCCTAATCTTAACCATTAGACTATGCTTGTTTTCTTGGGGGTAATTAATTAACATTAGACTAGGCATCTTGTAATTGACTAGAATGTATCAATTCGATATGCAAATAGTACATGCATTTACACTTGAAAACGATCACTATATCAACAAATCTGTCAAAGAATTCTTGAGTCAACATTCATATTGAACTCTCTTTGTTCTTCTTAAAACCAAACTATGATTTCAGTTAAAGGTTTTAAATTTGCGGAAACCGAAAAAACGCCCTACATTCCAATCTGCTAGCATCAAAACCAGAATTTTTGGAGCATGATCTTTCATAAGAGTTGGACAAAACGTTAGTAAAAGACCGTGTCTGGTTTTCGATGAAATCGTAACTCTTGGAATTCTTACCCTCTAGTTTCCTGTTGTAGTCCAAGCAATGCGGTTCCATTTACCATATGCAGGTTGTGGCAGAGGCAGTGGGGACTTTCATCTTGATGTTCTGCATATGCGGGATCATAGCAAGCACGCAGACGACGAGTGGAGAAGTCGGTCTCCTAGAATATGCTGCCACGGCAGGCTTAACAGTAATAGTTGTGATCTTCTCAATAGGGTCTATTTCTGGTGCACATGTCAACCCTGCTGTCACATTAGCTTTCGCAATCTTTGGCCATTTTCCTTGGCCCAGGGTACTTAAAACTATTCTTTCTCTAATCATTTTTTGAATGCTTTTAAGCACAAAAAAAAAAAACTGGTGTGATCACATCCTTATTTTTTCCGAAGGTCCCCCTTTACATATTTGCGCAAACATTTGGTTCGACAACGGCAACATATGCTGGGAAGTTTATTTATAACTTGAAATCAGATCTTGTGCTTACCCGACCGCTACAAGGCTGCGCTTCAGCATTCTGGGTAGAGCTCATAGCAACCTTTGTTATAATGTTCTTGGTAGCCTCATTGACTCATCAGGCTCAATCCGTAAGTAAACATCTCTAAATTTGTACGTTCTTTGTTATATGATCATTATAAGTTTATTTAACATAGGTCTAATTTCTTCTTTTTCTTTTTTTCTCAGGTAGGACATTTGGCTGGTTTTGTTGTTGGTAGTGCTATTGGACTAGCCGTGTTAATAACAGGGTAAGCACAAAAACTCCAATATTATTCTCTACGTGTTGTAATGAAAAATGGCATTCATCGCGGGATAAATCTCCATTACTCATAAAAGGCGGGTCCCACTACCCACCTAGTGGGACCTGCCTTGTGTGAGTAGTGAGGTTGAATAGAAGTGTTCGTTGTAATTTAGTCGAACATTGATAATACTGACACGTTATCGCAAATATGTGTATTGTAGGCCTGTTTCGGGCGGGTCAATGAACCCCGCGAGGTCAATGGGAGCTGCAATTGTTTCGTGGAATTTTAATGACATATGGATATACATCACAGCTCCAACAATTGGAGCTGTGGGAGGCGCTCTCCTATTCCAATTTCTAAAGACTCAACATAGGCCTTGTAGTTCTCTGACCTCTCCCAATACTTCTCTATTTCATCAGTCCTTGGACTTTAGAGCAACCTAAAATGCATTTAATGCTAATATTGTTGTATGGATTGATCATACTAGTCAAACCAAAAGAAAAAAAAAGGATGAAGATTTAGTTGAAACAAGATTTTAGAGTGGAGGTAGACGAAACTGAAACCATGATTGAGACTGTAAAGAATATCCACTTCTTAATTTGCCTAGAAAGTTTAAGAGCTTATTTAATCTATAACCTATTATATAAACCCCTTCATGAGCGTTCTTGTCTCTTTATAAGGTTTACATGCTTCCTATATTCTTTTAAAAAACACTTCCACACTACAACAACAAAAAGAGTTATTAGCGACGACATTTATCGTTGCTAAAATTATAATATTTGCGACGACATGTCGTCGCCAAAAAGAAAATAAGATTTTTGAACGACTTGTCGTCGCATTCACTATTTATCGTCGCACAAAATTTCACTATTTGCGACGCCATATCGTCGCTAAAATTTGATAAATTATTCGCGACGACATGTTGTCGCTAATATCCGTTGGTGCCAAAACCAATCTGGCGCCAACAATTTTGGCGCCAGTTTGTCCATTATTTGCGACGACAGCTGGCAATGACGTGGCCAAAAAGAGGCAAAAAATTTTATGGTTTCCCGTGAATAGGTTCTAGATATTTTTTTGTTTTTTGCGACGACATATTGTTTTTTGCGACGACATATTCTTTTCAGGACGACTGTTATTTTATTAATTACTTTTTACAATAATAATTTGTACTTCTATTTTTTATTATTTATTTCCTTTTATTTAATCTTTCTTATTATTATAATATCATGAATTATATTTAATATTGGGTTTAAATATATAGAAATCTACAACATTAATTATTAAAATGAGAAAATATAAATAAAAAATTAAAATATTATTTGCGACGACAAATGTGGTCGCAAAAAATATAAGTCACGTCAACTAATTCTGCATCTTTTGTGGCGACCAAATTCGTAAAATATCATCGCAAATACTCAATGTCATGTCATCTTAACGATGTAACCGATGAAATAATTGTAACGACTCATTTGTGACGATTGTCGTCGCAAACATAATTATGACGACTGTTTGTCATCGCAAAATTGTTTTTTGTGACGAATCAATTACGGTGACAGATTTGTGATGACAAGTGGTCGCTAAAAATTTATTTACGACGACTTTGTATTTTTAGCAACAATCTTTTATCGTCGCTAATAGTCTTTTTTCTTGTAGTGGCCATTAACTTGTTACACTATGCCCGTTCACTTCGCTGATTCGAGTTTAAAATTCGAGTTGAGATGTGACTTTATGTGAGAGCTTTTTACTGTAGCAAAAAAGTTAGATGTGATTGTTTGTGATAGCTTTTTACTGTAGAAAAACTCGAATTCTAAACTCGAATCAGCGAAGTGAACGGAGATTTTTTTTAACCATTCCCGCCTTTCATTACGCACTTTAAAAAAAACAAAAACAAAAACAAAACAAAATAAAAACCGCACACATTGTAAATATATTAAACATAACGTTTACATATAAAGCGACTGTCATTTTTGTAAAAAGCGGTGTCGTTGCCATGTGATAAACGACGTGCCGGTTTATAGATACGAATGTCATTCGACCACTATCAGATCATAAAGAAAAGAGGGAGAATGAGTGAAATAGCATTAGAGTAATTAGTAAATTATAGAATATTTTTTAAAGTAGTGGATTATAGCATAATTTGATATTTTAAGTTTTAAATATTATTAAAAACTCAAAAATACCCTTAAGTCTTATTTCAAGCTCTCTCTTCTTCTCCTTATACTTAAGTTCACCATGGCCGGCACTGGCGACCGGCTCCCGCGACCAGTGACTATTTCCAACGGCCGGCTCCACTGACAAACTCCGGTGACTCTGGTGATCATTTTTTTGACGACTGTTTTCAGGCGACTGGTAAATACCGTATTTATTAGTAAATATTATACTTATCTAAAAATCCAGCCACTGACTCCGGCGACAGTTTAACACTATCTTTACCGATAAATACCGTATTTACCCATAAATATTATATTCATCCAAAAATCCGACCACCAACCCCGATGATAGTTAAACACTGTATTTAGCAGTAAATATTGTATTTATCGTTAAATAATGCATATCCCAAATTACTACTAAAGTATTTATGGGTGAATACAATATTTATTGTATTCAAATTCATAGTTATTAAAGTATTTATTAGTAAATACAGTATTTACCATATTCAAAATCATAATTACTAAAGTATTTACAATATAATATTTACTAGATTCAAACTTACTAAAATATTTACAGGTAAATACAGTACTTACCAGTATTCAAAATTTTAATTAATAAAGTATTCACCAGTAAATACAATATTTATCAGATTCTAAACACAAAAACAGACAAAATGCAAAACTAAACTTCACAAAAATTCCACAAATTCTCAAATCTCAATCACAAACACACTCATAAACACATATTACAAAATCATATTCAAACTGATCTGCAAAAAAGTTTTTAAACAAACGAAAAAACCAATTATAAAACCTAAACCCAAATCTCATATCTACACTAAAACAGAATCTCAAATCTAGTCACAAACTCGACGGTCACAAACCGAGAACCACCCAATCCGGAGAATAAAAAATGTCTACAAAACACAAAAACAATCCCAAAATCACAAACTAAGAACCATGTAATTAGATTAACCTGAGTGGCCTTGTCACGGCGGTTGCAAGATCTCTAGTCGAGACTAGTTCGCAAGGGTGACGAGATCTAGGGCGGAGATGTGTCTCGCCACTTAGGAAATATTTACTAAATTGTAATTACTAAAGTATTTACAATACAATATTTACTAGATTCAAACTTACTAAAATATTTACAAGTAAATACAATACTTACTAGTATTCAAAATTTTAATTAATAAAATATTTACCAGTAAACATAATATTTACCACATTCTAAACACAAACACAGATAAAATGCAAAACTAAACTGCACAAAAATTCCACAAATTCTCGAATCTCAATCACAAACACAATCATAAACTAGGGCTATTCAAAATAATTGCGAAACTGATACCGACCAAAGAAAATTGATAGAAAGCGAAATTGATTATCGGACGTCAGTTAACCGACCAACCACCACACATGGGCGTTGGTTCCGGTGGCCAAGGTCGTTGATTAAACCAAATCGACCGACTAATATTATACACTTAAAAAAAGAGTTTTGTAAAGTTGGAGGTTTGAACCTTCAAACTAAAGGGTAGAACAGCATTAACTAACCACTAAACCACATTGTCCTCATTAGTATTCTTGTGG